AGAGAGAGAGAGAGAGAGAGAGAGAGAGAGAGAGAGAGAGAGAGAGAGAGAGAGAGAGAGAGAGAGGCTGACCGTGGTGGATGGAATCAAAGGTAAGCGGGTTGTGGGTTACACATGAGGTCAATTGGTGGTGGAAGAAATCAAAGGGGAGAAGAAGGAGTCTGAGGAGAGAGTTATCGATGTTAGTCAGTGTCGATGATGGGTAGAAGAAGTGTTAGCAATGGGCCTTTCCAAAACCATTGAGAGAAGATAGCAGCAGAGATGCAAGAGGTAGGCAGTTGCCAGTAGAGGTGAGGGCCATGGCGGAGTGGTAAGGAGGATAAAGAGAGGAAAAAGGTGGTAGAGGTAGTGCCCAATGATGGAGACGGAGGTGGTGTCCAGTGATGGGCTGACGACTAAGAAGGAGGAGGAGCTGCCAATGACTAGAAATTTTTTGGTGCAATATCTAGACATGGCTGCTACAATTAGATTTAGGTTTTTATTCATTTTTTCTCAAAATTTTCAGAAATGGTCCCTTAAGTATCGAGGTTCTAAAAATTTAGTCTGGGGTAAAAAATCTTTTTACAATGGATTTAACAGAAATTGTTAACGGTGTTAGACAAAAAAAAGACCAACCACGATGGATTTTGAAATCAGAATGACCAACCTAATCAAATTTTCAAAAGTTGGACAAAAATAAAGATTAATCCCAATCATACGGACAAACTTGTAACTAGGGGTAAGCAAAACCGAACCCGGAAACCAAAAAACCGACAAAAACCGACAAAACCGAAACCGAAAAACCGAAACCGAAGCATAAACCGATGGTTTGGGTTTAGAATTTCCAAAAACCGAAATTTTCGGTTTGGGTTCGGTTTTTGGGTTTGGTAAAACCGAAAGAAACCGAACCGAACCGAATGTTGATATATTATATGTATTCTGTGAGTTATATATGTATATATACGTAGTCCTGAGGCTATAAACACAAAATGAAGGATGCTCTAGTGGTTAACGCCTTAGGCAGTTGTAGTAGATGGCACAAGTTCGAAACCTGCTAACCTCATTTTTCTCGATTTATTTTGCCAACGACTTAACTCTATCCCACATCGCCCATTACTAAAACTTAAGCCAACATTCGCTTCTATATAAGATGGTTATCCACTTTCTTTCTACTATCTCGTGAGTCCCACATCGCTAGTGATATGTAAATATCAGTTATCCTCCCCATTATATAGTTGAGGGAAATTAAGAAATAAGTTTGAGATTTGGTTTCCATTATAAAACCGAAACCGAACCATGAAACCGAAGTTTAAAACCGAAAACCGATAAACCGAACCCGGTTTGGGTTGAAATTTTTAGAAACCGATCATTTTCGGTTTGGGTTCGGTTTTAGGTCAAAACCGATCCAAACCGACCCATGCACGGCCCTACTTATAACTTACTCTAATATTTACTTTCGAGTATCAGTTTCTTGGATTAAGATTGAAAATACTTGATGAACTATATGCAAAAAGATGGTGATGTGATAGACTAACTAAACCTAAAAAATCATTAAGACAATCAAAGCATAATGACAAATAGTTCGGTTTGTGGGCTCCAAAACCCCTTCCTCAATTAGCCCAGCAATCACAACTTCAGTAGGTTGAACTCTACATCGTAACTAATTACCAGTGCCAATTCATCACCTTTTTCGCTTTTCCACACCCAAATCCAGATCAATCCACAACTTCCATTGCACAATACACAACTCAATATTCCTTTCCACCTCTGGATTTAACAATTTCTGCTATTGAAAAAGTTTTACCTTCAAAAATGATGGAAGCTTGCTTACAAAGTCAATATAGCCAATTAGAAAGGTCATATATATAGCTGCCAACAACCTTCTCTTCATCTATTCTTTGTAGCCATTAGGTCCATTAAGTTTAGATTGGTGGCAAAGATTCTTAGTCGCCATGAAAGAGAAAAAAACAAGTTTTGTTGTTCTTCCTTTTTATATAGGATGTTTGTCTCAAATAACTACATGTGAAAAGAATTCCAGCCAATCAAGGACGACAGCAATGGCGGAATCGAACCAGGTTGCAACAAGTATGGTGGTGGAGGGAGAAAGCAGTTCGTCAATGGTGAAACTCAAGAGATCTTGGAGTTATGTGGCTCCAAGAAGATCTAACATCACCACGGTGATGGATAAGCTAGTCAAACTCACGTTCAGAAGCTTTGCTCGAGTATTTGGTAAGTGAAAAGTTCCATGATTTCTTTATAATCTTTGTTTATTGGTGTGCACCATAATTAATATACGCAAATGGTTCATGGAGTGTTTGTATAACAGAAAAATAAGTGACTTCGAGTGAAATTTTACTCACAAGAGGTTACATGGGTAAATCGAAAAACGGGTCAGTTTACAAGCTCCTCAATTGCTTCTATTAAAAATATTAAATTATTATTTTAATAATATTTTCTATAATTATATTTACTATATTACTTATTAATGGAAATTAAAAAAAATAGAAATAAAGATTTTAGCACTTTAAGTCTTCAACACAAGTTATTTAAGTATTGTTAAATGGGATGTTTACTAGGTCCACGTTAAGCTGTTTTGACAAAAAAAAATGTTAATTAGTCCAATCTGACATAAAAAATTATCTATTTTTATGTTTGGAAATAGAAATCAACTTGTAACTTTCGAGCATAACATGAGTTGCTTCTTGAAAATCATTACTCAAATCTTTGGTAGGTAAGAGTGTTGCGATTTAATCCCAATCTTGATAATGTGGCAAAGTTATAGCATCCGTCAAATGTAACCTCACTCTCACCATTGTTTCTTTCCTTAGAAAAATCATGTGGATAGCTACACATTATCTTTCCATAGTACCATACTCATGTTCGGTTTATTCTTCTTTTTCATTTCAGATGATATTTAAAAAAATCAAAACACATTGAGAAAAAGGAAGGAATATATAAATAAGAAAATTTGTAAAAAGTTAGGATTTAACATATAGCGGTGGTTCGGTCACATGCATGGTGACTCCAATTAGAAAGACCTCCTATCGAAAATTTCTTTTAGTAACATATTACTAAAAAATTTAGAAGACAAAAAAAAATAATAATAATAATACATTATTACAGTGTACTTACATGCTACTCATCTAATTCATGTTTTATTAACAATAAAAGTTCGGTTTTTTAGATATATTATTAAAATCAAGTAGAAATTATATACCAATATTATAAAGACATTTATATATATCTAAGGCAATACCGAGAGCATGAGTTCAAGAAGGCTTTAAATTGAGTCAGAGCTGATTTAAGAATTGATTTGATATTTGTTAAGAAAAATAATAAAAGAACAATTTTTAAGCAATTACCTTTTGAAGAGAGTGACATTAAGTCACCGAAACTAGTATATGATTTTCGCCTCAAGAATAATTCAAGATTTCAGTCTTTTGTGGACATAACCGGTCAGGCTATTGGTTCATTGGTGCAAATGTTTGAACAATACAAAGAATATGGTGTCATTTTTGGTTTCTTATCCACAACTAGAAAAGTTTAAGTCTAATGATGAACTAAAGAGAAATTGCAAAAATCTTAAAAAGAGTTTACAAAATTGACATATCTGAAACATCGATGACGATGATTTATTCAACTAGTTGGAATTGTTACAAAAGAATTTATCAATTAAACATAATACATCTAGCATAATACTAATATTCCTAAAAAAGGTAAACACTTATCATGTTTCTTGGCTAGCATGCAAAATATTATTGATTGTTCTGGTTACAGTTGCATAAAGAAGCTATTCAAAACTAAAAATTTTAAATAATTATTTGTAATGTACCATGCCTCTAGAAATATTAAATGCTTTGATTTTGATTCCAATTATGAACAAGTTTCTTGAAAATATTGATTATGGAATTATGATAGATGAATTTGTTTCTAAAAATGCTCAAAGATTGATGTTTAGAAAATAGTAGTGTGTTGGTTGTTTATCTTCGAGTTGTTTGTAACAATTTCGACTTATTATTAATGAGTGAAGACCTGCATATGATGCTCATGTAGAAAATTTACAAGATCTCTATTATAAACTTTGAGTTTTGAATTTGACAATAGTGAATTTACTTAAAAACCCTTTACAATATTTTTTTTATGAGGCCTTAATTTGATTTTTGACTTCTGAAATGTTAGGGTCGGGTCTATTATATGGAAAAATTCTTATCCACAATTTGATCTATTAAGTAGTTCTTTCGAACATAGGTAAAATATAATTACCAGATTAAGTCATATCCTTGTTAAATTCACAAAGTTAAAAAGGAAACAACATCTCACACTTTTTTCTTTTCAGCATACAAAGATATCGAGGACATAAAGACTGAGACCGAGATGGAAATAGGGTTTCCAACGGATGTAAAGCATGTCACACACATAGGCTATGATGGATCAATGACTACAAACCCCGAAAAAATTTGGGATCATTTTCAATTGCAACCGCTTGAAACACATTCTTTTCCTTCGGTTTCTTTAAAACAGTTAATTGAGCCTACACTGGCTAACCGGGTAGAGGGCCCCACAACTTTATGATTGAAATTTGATACCAATCATATCAAACTGAGAGGAAGAAAGAGGAGAGTTAAAATGATTTGGTTTTGTGGTAAAATTTGTTGTTTTTTTGGGTGTTTGGTTCTGATCTTAGTGAGATTGATTGTTTTTTCTTTGAAGTACTAGTTAGATCGATTGTTTTATTTTGTACATATTTTATAGAATGTCGCTTTCTTGATTCTAATTAGTAATACCATGTATTGGTTTCTAAGTCAATATAAATTCAATAATGTTGTACTATATAATGATGAAACTGATCGAATTTGTTGTAAATCCTTGAATATTTGGTGCATTCACATTGTAATAAACGTGCATGGACAAAGTGAGATACATATGTTATGGTGATTAACAGAAGATTTGATTAATTTGCTAAATTAATTTAAAAATACGACGGTGTAGAATGGGTCCTGCAAGACTAGAAGAAACTATACCTAAGTTAACTCTTGTTTTAAGGGTGTTAATCGAGTGCAATTGATCGGATTTCAGGTTATAGAAGTTGGATTAGTCGGTTTTTTGAGGAAAAAATTCACCTAAAACCCGACCCTTTCGAGCTATGGGTTAGTCGGGTTAATTATAAATTATGCATTCGATAGTTTTGTCACTTAAAAGAATATATATTATAGAAATGTACAAAAACAACCTAATTTCTTAATGACTTAGCAAAAAATAGCCAAAATTAGGGTTTATTCATAAATAGCCACCGAAACCACAAATAAGGAAAACATACATGCAGTTTTGTGAGTTACATTAACTTACTTATTATGGTGACTTTGCTTGAATATGTAATTATGCATAATGTTATCTTATTCCCGAGAAATGGGGAATATGGGTTATTCCTAGAAAAGGGGGGACGGAACAATAAGGCAGTTAGTACCAACAATATGTCTTTAGAACTTTTGTGTTATGTGATTATGTGAATGTATGTATTATGTGAAGGTATACGAGTAATATAATGGGTGAGTATTGTGTATGCTCGCTAAACATTTTCACTTACCTATTGTTTATTAATTCTTTTAGGACCCTCCGAGGTAGAAATATAAAGGACCTAACATGACTGCAAACAACCTTTTGCATTCTTGTGGATTTTCATTATTAGTATTTCTATGATAATTTGATATGTAAATAAGGGGTCATGACTTCCATACTTTGGTTTATGAAACTTTTTTAGTAACTCTGATAATATGTTTTAAAAGTTTTAACATAATGATTTTTAATGATTTCTTCTTTATAACTGATATTTAATGGTATTAATCGTTCTAAAACTATGGATAGGGGCTAGAGTATAACTCATCATAGCCAATATACCACCCAATCATGAAACTAGAGCTTGATATACCCATTGATGATTGATCGTAATAAATCAATGATGAATTGACAATCTCATGGTGATGTAGAGAGTATTCCACACATTTAAAGCTCACTACATTTATACTCCCATTATTCGTTTGGCATCGGGCCCCGCCCGGTATACATACAAACACATAAACACATACAAGAATCACAAAGATAAATAACATACAATATAATCATCAGGCGCTGCCCGACATCGGTCCCCGCCCGACATACATACCAGATATCATACATGGAAGAGTCACACAGACAACTAGCATCCTATTCATAATAAACTATGGGTCGACATTGATGCCTTTGACCGACCAAACATAGTGAGGAAACTTACCTCAAGCTGCTGAATCTCTCAGATAAAATCTCGGTCTGCTGTTCCAAAAAATCCCCGTGCTAACACCATAAAATAATATCCAATTAATAATTGGATATCAACCCATATTCAAGAATCTAAATCACTTCTCTAACTTCTAGGGTAAAAGACCGTTTTACCTTTTTTATACTTGACCCAAAACCAAGGCCCGACCCATTTACTCAAAAAGCCTAAATTCATAAATGGCATCCCAAAGCCCAATATGGCCCAACTTCCTAAATGGGCCCAAAACCCACCATGGCCTAAATCCAAGATGGACCATAGCCTAATAATGGCCCAAAGTCAGAAGTCCAATGGCCGAACAAGGCCCAAACCCTAAAAGTCCAAAATATGGCCCAAACCCGTGAAAGTCAACCGAAAGTCAAACTGTTGAGTACGTTTGGCGTACTCAGACTTACGCTCAGCATACTCCTTCCAGGGCTAGTACGCGCAGCTTACGAGCTGGGTACGCCTCGCATACTCCGCAAACGACCAACCCAACCCATTAAGCACTTAATCGGTTAAACCATTAAGCCAAACTCTCAGATCTAATCCTAAATGGTGACTTAACACGAAAGTTGGCAACTTTACTCCCATGCATGACTTAATGGGACCCAAAACTCAAAAAGAACCATATTAAGGATCATAACACATGCATAGACCAATATAACTCATACAAGTTGCATTTTTATAGACAAGGGACCTCAAACGTGCTAAGATCTAACATCCATGGCTTATGGAGTAGATCATAATCTCAAATATGGCTTAAAGGACCCAAAAATGCACAAATAACACCCTAAGTTGGATCTAGCATAAGGAACCATCAAGTTGAGAGCTTTTTACCTCAAATAGCTTGCAAAGATGAAGATGAATCTGGATCTACAAGCTCAAGCCACTCCCAAGCAACCTCCAAGTGTTCTTCTTCCTTCACTTTACCAAAAACACCACCAAAACTCACTTCCAAGCTCAGATCTCACAAATGGCCATTAGGGTTTAGATCTTAGGGTATAGAGAGATGAAGGTTGTTTATAAGGAGGTCCAAGGGTGTTATAAGTTGTTTAAATAAGGCACAAACCCTAAGAATTAGGGTTTGTCCCTGCATTGTGTATGCCATGCGTACTTCCACGTACGCCTAACGTACGTGGGTGCATCTGCGTTCCAACCAACGAGTCAGTACGTTCAGCGTACTCATAGAGTACGCCCCGCATACTGAGCTAGGGACTAAAATGAGAGAAATTTAAATTAAGGGTTGAAAAGGAACATACCAATAATCTCGAATGTTAGAATTCTCCCCCACTTGAATCAGACTTCGTCCTTGAAGTCCGCTGCTGCAAATAACTCCGGGTAATGCTCCCTCATCTAGTCCTCTGGCTACCATGTCCATTATGAGCCCTTGCGATGCTGCCACTGTACTTTCACCAACTCAACAACCTTGTTCCTCAAGGTTTTCGTCCTCCTATCAAGAATCGCCACCGGTCTCTCGACATAATTTATGCGATCATCCACCTGAATATCCTCCAGTGGAACCACTGCGGAATCATCAACCAAGTATTTCCACATTTAAGAGACCTGAAATGTGCTATGGATATGACTAAGCTCCTTAAGAAGATCCAATCGATAAGCAACCCGGCCCACCCGGGCCAAAACCCTGAAAGGACCGATGTACCTGGGGCCGAAAATTCCCATCTTCCTGAATCGGATGATGCCTTTCCAAGGTGACACCTTCAGGAGAACCATATCCCCAAAATGAAACTCTAGGTCAGATCAACGCTTGTCGGTGTAACTCTTCTGCCGACTCTGTGCTGTCTGAAGTCTACCCTGAACCTGCTGAATCAACTCGGTAGTCTTGAGTACCACTTTGGTACTCCCCATGACTCGTTGATCGACCTCACCCCAACATATCAGGGTCCTGCACTTCCTCCCATAGATCATCTTAAAAGGAGGTCTATCAGTGCTAGCATGATAACTATTGTTATATGAAAATTTCGCTAACAGAAGATACGTATCCCTACTGCCGCCAAAATCAAGAACACAAGCCCGCAATATATCCTCCAATGTCTGGATGGTCTGCTCGCTTTGTCCACCAGTCTGTAGGTGGAATGCCATGCTGAAGTGCAGAAGAGTACCCAACTCCTCATGGAACTTCTTCCAAAACTTGGAAGTAAACCGGACGTCCCTGTCTGAAACCACAGAAACGGGCACCCCATGCCATGCCACAACCTCCCTGATGTATATGTCGGCCAACTTCTCTGCAGAGATACTCTCCTGAATCATAAAAAAATGCGCGCTCTTGGTTAATCGATCCACGATGATCCAAATCGAATCCACTCTGTGCATTGTCCGAGGCAACTTCGTAATGAAATCCATGGTAATCTCTTCCCATTTCCAAACGAGAATGTCTAATGGCTGCATCTTTCCGTGAGGCCATTGATGTTCGGCCTTGACTTTCATGCATGTCAAGCACCTCTCCACATACCAAGCTATATCCCGCTTCTTACAGGGCCACCAATAATCAGGAACAGAAATCTCTATACATCTTCGTCGCCCCGAGATGAATGGAGAATCTTGATTTGTGCGCCTCCTCCATCAGAACCTGACGCGCACCACCCCAATATGGATGAGCGTGGGACCGAACCGTTATCGACATGTACTGTTCCCGATCTCCCAAAAACCGAATTTGGTCGAAAGTCAATCCCGAATACCGAACAGAATTAACATCACTGGTATCAGTACCGGGAATGGTACCGGTTTTCGGTACTAGTACCGGTACCGATTCCCGAATTTCATGTATTTGGAGTACCAAGTACCGTCCCATATTTTTAAATTCGGTACGGTTTGGTACCGGTTCCGATACGGTACCGGTACGGGATCGAGATTTGGGACAAACTACTCATCCCTACACCCCAATATGAAACCCACACCCTCCGATGGAGAGTCAATAACCCCCGACTATCATAATTGATGGAAGCCACCTAACCCACTACGCGCTCACTCTTCCGGTGCTCTTCCTTCATAGCCTCAACCTGAGCCTCTCAAATATGCTCCAAGAGTGGAGTAATCACTGTCATTCTCATACAAATATCCCTGATCGGAGTTGCGACCGCCTTGCGGCTGAGAGCATCAGCCACCACATTGGCCTTAACCCGGATGGTAAAGGATCTCACAATCACAATCCTTCACCACATCCAACAACCGACGCTACCTCATGTTCAGATTCGGCTGATCCATCAGATACCTCAGGCTCTTGTGATCCGTGTAAATAGTACAGCGGACCCCATAAAGGTAATATCGCCAAATCTTGAGGGTGAACACCACAACGCCCAACTCTAAATCATGTGTAAGATAGTTTGCCTCATGAGGCTTCAACTGCCTTGAAGCCTAAGTAATAACGCGACCCCTATGCATCAGAACTTCCCCCAAACCCATGATCGACGCATCACAATAATCTACAAAACCCTCAACACCCTCTGGCAG